CAGTCCTTATCAAGTATATGATTTGCAAATATATTCTTTAATTCTCTGGGTTGCTTCTTTTTTAATTTTGTTAATATTTGAAGCATAAAATTTTTTAATATTAATGAATTCTGATATATCTATTTTATTTGTGTTGCTATAAAAAATAAAATCTGTATGCCTTTTATTTCTGTTTCTTGTCCGATTGCCCTGGCTAGGACCTCTGCTACAATTACAATATTGAATTGTGGTGAGTAGAGCTGACGTCTTTGCCTTGTTCCTGATCTTAAGGCAGTAACATGGTCTTTCACCATTAAGTGTGATGTTAGTAAGTTTTTCATAGATAATCTTTATGGTTTCTTGAGTGTTTTTATCATGAAAGGGCATTGGATTTTTGTCAAATATGTTTTTCTGATTTATTAAGATGATCCTGTGGGGTTTTTTTGCCTTGGTTCTATTGGAATGGTGTATTACATCAATTGATTTTGGTAAAATAATTTTGCATTCCTGTGAAAAATCTCATTTGGTAATGGTATATAATCCTTTTTATATGTAACTGGATTGATTTTTCTATCATTTTTGAGGATTTTTATATACATTCATAAGAAACATTTGGCTGTAGTTTTCTTTTCTCCTGAGGGCGACTGACAGCATGACTTGGACATAATGCTTCCTCTTTTCTTCTTGGAAAGAGTTTATGGACATGCACCCAGCCCATGGGCTGAGAGACCCAGCCCCTCCAGTGTCCCAAAGTCCACCCTCCAGCAGGGACCCAGTTGCGCCCCTGAGGACTTGCTACTGAGCAGGAGGTGCAAGGTTAGGCGGTGGGATGGGCGCCATGGAGGCCCTCACCCACATCACCAATCAGACCCAGGGTCGGAACTGGCACTTCAGAGCCACTCAGTACACATGCATGTTGCTTAGATATGTGTTAGAGCCAAAGCTGACCCCCCAAAAGGTGGTAATGAAGCTCTAGAAATGAGAGTGTAGTACGAGCACTGGCCGTTAGGTGATTCAGACTTAGTAATTTGGTATGCGCTGTACAGGCTACTCAGCAAAGCATTCATGCCATGAACCTGGTGCTCCACTTATGCCTGACATTTGCCAACCTGCACCTGACCCTGTGGTTTACTTCATCTGTGACACCATCCTCTGGGTGAGGAGTGTAGGGCTGGCCTCTAGCATTAACAAAGAGAAAAAACTAATGTGGGCCACACACCATTACTCATTATTCTCTCCTGCTGACCCTGGTGGGAGGATCTGTATGAAATCTCCCTGCAGATGGAACAGGTCACACAGGCCAGGACAAAGAGGGGGAGGTCACCCTTCCAGGATCATCTGGGGTACAGTGTGGCTGATGAGGAAACAGAATGGCTCCAATCTTTTCTCCTACTTTATTTCAATCTCTGAGTAGTCATCCTCCCTGCTCCTGAATGCAGTAAACAACCTCTGCAATATCCTGAATCCCTTGGACCAGCTTGGCATCTGTAAGTCCAAACCTGGCATCACTGGACTTGGATGTCTTGTGTCCTCCCTAGCATGGCCTGGCTTCACACATGAAGCTGAAGACTCCTACCTGTCAGTGGAACAGACATTTGTGTTAGGCACAGACCACAGTCATACTGTGCTAAATACTTGTTCAGGAGAGTATATAGGGCCTGGTATGTGAGCAGAGGCCAGGCCAAGAATAGAGACAGGGAAAACATGAAGGTTTATATATACATATTTTGTAGTGCTGGGGTGAATTTCTGAGTATTTTCCTTTCATTAACATTCACTGAGCTCTCTTATGCACATAAGAGAGTTTAGTGTTTGCTGAATGAATAAAAATTGAAAAAAAATTTAAGATTTTATTTATTATTTATTTTTTTATTTTTAGAGAGAGGGGAAGAAGGGAGGGAGAAAAAGAAGAAGAGAAACATCAATGAGTGGTTGCTTCTCCCGTGGCCCCCACTGGGGACCTGGCCCCTGGCCCAGGCATGTGTTCTGACTGGGAATGAAACTGGTGACCCTTTGGGTCATAGCCCACACTGAATCCACTGAGCTACACCAGCCAGGATGAAAGAAAAAAATTTTAAAGGCTTAAACTAACAAGTGCACAGTAAATACAGAAACTTTTGAGCTGTGTATCTCTGTTCTGCATGATTACAATAGGTCTGATTCACAGAGCTCAGATCCAGTAGAGGCTGCTTCCTACACAGAGGCCACTGCCAGCATTGGGGAGATGGGCCTAAAGCCCCTTTTTTAAATATATTTTATTGATTATGCCATTACAGTTGTCCCATTCCCCATTCCTTCATTCTCCTCCACCCTGTGCACCCCCTCCCACCCACCTTCCCAGATTTAGTTCATGTCCATGTGTCGTAAGTTCCTTAGCTTCTATATTTCCCACACTACTCTTGCCCTCCCCCTATTTTCTCCCCACTGTCTGAGCTACTTATTCTCTGTACCTTCTTCCCCTCTCTCCTCCTCCCACTCCCTTGTTGCTAACCTTCCATGTGATCTCCATTTCTGTGGCTCCACTCCTGTTTTAGGTGTCTGCTTAGTTTGCTTTTGTTTTATTCCTCACCCTGACTTCACTGTACTCCTGTCCTTCCTCTGTCTGAAGTGGAATCAGAAACTCATCACGCACCTTTACGTGTAACTTGTGTCTTTAGTTAATGTAGTGACTAAGCAAAAAATCGGAAGCAAATAAAAAGAACTTGAGGTAAAACTAATGTGGAAGGTCATCATGGGTACCCATAGGTAGCCTGTGAAAGATGAGAAACTGAAGTTTAAAAACAAGGACCTATGTACCGCAATGTTCGCAGCAGCAAAATCTACAATAGCCAAGTGCTGGAAGCAACCTAGGTGCCCATCAGTAAATGAATGGATCAGAAAACTATGGTACATTTACACAGTGGAATACTACGCAGCAGAAAGAAAGAAGGAGCTCCTACCCTTTGTGACAGCATGGGTACTGTCCTAAGACCCCCAAAAGAAGGGGAAGGGTCAAGTCAAGGAACATGTATAAAGGACCCATGGACAAAGACAATGCAGGGGGAGGACTGAATGGTGGGTAGGGCAGGGAAAAGTAATGAGGGAAATAGTGGGGACAACTATAATTGAATAATAATTAAAGATTTTAAAAAACACCACTGGGGTTAGAGCCTCGTTCCTCCGATTCTCAGTCCAGCTTTTCCTTCTGTGATATTTCACTGCCTTTCTGGTGTAGATGTATCAGCTAGATTGTTTTATGTAAAGCTGTATGACAATTGGGCATTCCCACATTAATTTTCATCAAAATTTATGCAATCATAACAGTGGAAAATTATAACAGTGGGAAATTGTAACCCACCCCACCATTCTTTTGACATCATTTCTGTAAGGGCTGACTCTAACATGTAGCTTATAGATAAACAGTATGTTTGCATAAGAAGCCCAGGAACTAACTTCAAAAGACATAGCTGTGGGAGATACGCTGACCTTCAGCCGTGGAGCCTGGATGATGTGAAACTGAGATGAAGCTTCAGACATGAAGCCAGGATGACTAAACCAGGATGCTGTACACTGGACCATCACTTGCCTTATCAGAATGGACTGTACTCAACTGCACGTAGAGAACTTTGCAACCCTCTCCCCTGGTCTCTTTGTTCTGCTCCCCTCTCCCTTTTTATAAAAACCTCTGCCCCACACTGAGAGGTAGAGATGATCTTTGATATGCGAGTCCCCCATCTTCCCAGGAGATGAGCTCTGTGCCAGGAGTCTCCATCTTCCAGATGCTGGCATCTGCATATAAACCACTCTCCTTTACATCAGCGCCTGCTTCTCTGGTACTGGATTTCATGGCGGCAGGCATCCGGACGTGCTGCTGCTTACACAATTAAGTTTCACCAATAGTGTGAATGAGGAGGGTTGCAATTTTCTATGGTAAATCAGACCTCATATGTGTAGGGTCGTTGGGGAGGTGGAAAGAGCTGCAGGGGCTAGTTTGAAGGGGACAGCTCAATACTGAGTAGAGGCCGCTTACTCCTGTTCCTACTTTCCATGTTGTGTGTTGGGTTCTTACTTGTGATGCAGATTCTTTCATTTGAAGGAAGTGAGGTAGACAAACAGGTTGTCAGCCCTGCCATGACAGCCATCTCGTGTATCTGGGTGGAAATGGAAAAGAAGTGTACACTAAATAAATGTCCCATAAATGTGACTGACCTTCTTTAAAAGGGCACTAAGGTCCTTGGGTCTTTATTTTTAAACTGGCCAATCAAGATACAGGATTTAAGAAGGCCATTTTGGGAACTTTAAAAGAAATGAAATCTGTTAGATCAGGGCAAATGAAAAGCTTAAACAACTATTTTTACTTTGTCCAGATCCTCTACTATAATAGAGTAAATGATCTCTAATTAAATTTTCTAGACAAAACTGAAAAAAAGGAGTTTGTGAAGAATTTTGGTCATATTTTATATTTTTAATTATATATATATATATGTACACGCATATTTTTTTAATGCAGTTCTGATAGCATGGTCAATAGGAGGGAAAAAATCCACCCTTTCACTCTGAAACTCTGAAATAAATCCCTGGGCTGGATCTACGATCCACAACGGCAAAGCCAAAGTTTGAGTTTCAGGAAAGAGATAGAAGTTCCCTAATACAGCCTTAAAAGTTTTCGAAGTTTGTTGTTGTTGTTTTAAGTAGAATACTCATCGCGGCGTGAACGCTGCTCTTATTCCCCCATCTCTCTTCCATTTCTCCACCTTTCCCCCATTCAGATTCTGGGCCAGGTGGGCACAGACCTCAAGGTGACTCTGGGGTTAGCGGTGACATTATCCCTCTTCCGTCAGCATCTGGAGAGGAAGGGGGTTGGGCCGAGAGGGTCTCCTGGGGCGGGTTGGAGGAGGAGGGAATGCAAAACAGAGCCTCGCCCCGGGAACCCGCTGCGCAGCAACGCCCTACCCTATAAATCCGGAGCTTCCTCATCTCGGAAGACTCCAGCGCCTGTGAACCAGGCCCCCAAGTGTTGGAGACAGAGCGTCCGAGCTGGCGCAGGGCTAGCAGCTCTACCCAGTGGCGATTGGCGGGTACCAGCCCGACTGACCGAGAGCAGTCCCGACTCCCAGGCGGCGCGCAAAAGCAGGGCACCAGCACCACCGGCTCGTGTCCAGACGTGCGCGCAGAGCCCCGGGCGCGGGTGAGTGGGTGCGGACTGCGGGACAGGCTTGGGGCGGTGGGGCGGGCGTGGTCTGTTTCTTAAGGAGGAGCCCTAAGGGTGGGCACTGTGCCGGGAGGCTCAAGGACCACGGAGAGCGAGCGTAGTTCGGGTGGGCGCCCACCCGGAGCTGGCCGCGCTTCCCCATATCAGGTGAGGGGCGCATCGAAGTTGACAAGGTAGAATTTGAGCTTGTTTGCCGCGTGACTCCCAAATCTCATTCCGATTCGATCAAACACTTCCAACTAAAGGCAAGAAATCTCTAAGTGGGATGAAACCAAGCAAACTTTCTTCCGGAAGCTTTTAGCTAACTCCTGTCTTTTAACCTTGACCTGAGCAGCAGCTAGTACGACGGCCTGCCGGGCGTCCATTTATTTCAGTTATGCTATGTCTCAGGCGAAGATACGAGGGTCCCCATACGCTCCCTCTGCTTCCCAGGCGATGCTCTTAACCCGCTCATCTTCCCTCTCCCTCCCTGCAAACCTTAGCAGTGGGTCCTTGGCACTGACTCCGCCCCGACCTGGGGCAAACTTTCCCACCTTCAGGTGCCCTTTAATTCGTCACATTGGAGGAGGGAGAAGCCCGGGCATTTCCACACCTTAATCTCCGCAGCCTTGGCCAGTGCGTATTTGTAAGAGTCAGGATTTTAGACGCAGCTCTCGCAGGCTCCTTCCCGCCCCTCGGCTTCTCTATCTAGCACCCCGCTTTCCAGTTCTCTTAACCTTCCAGTCCGGGTCTGCGCAGGGCCAGCTGCAGAAGCCTCTGGAAGACCTCAGCAAGTCTTCCCCAAAGTGTCTCCTGCCTCGTTGTCTTTGGGCGGCATTAGACATCTGGCTGTTGAATCCATCTGGGCATCTTTACCGAATCTTGGTTTGCTGATGATCTCATTAAGTGTCAAAACCCACTACCACCCTCGGGATCCCTCTCTCCCCCTGGGAGCACTTTGTGGATTTGGCTGCGTTTATTTCCAGTGTCATTCCAGAAGGAGAAAGGAACAGTGAGAGGGCAAGCAATCTGGCACCTTGCTGTTTCATGTTTTTAACTTTGCAGAACAACTCGTACCTCCTCCTGAAGGAGCCTCATCCCCAATATGCTTCTCTTGGTGGTTATTACCCCCTGAAGGGCCTGAGTTCCCAGACATCTATTCCTCTGAGCATAAGCTAAACCCTTTATAAGTGTTCTCTAAAAAAGAAATCACCTGTTTCCCTTGTCTCTTGTAGTGTTTCCTTAGCTCTAATGGCCCCGTGGATAATCCTCCTCCAAGTGTGATGGATCCCACCACCTTTCCTGGCAGACAGGGCAGGGGCAGGGAAGCCTAGTGGGCAGGGGAGAGGCTCCCACCTTAACTAGCTGTGTGGTGTTTGGATCTGAACCCCAAGTCCCTGTCCATAAACTTCCCTCCAGTGATAAAATTCTTTGATTCCTTTTGTTTCTTCATTATTGCTTGGAAATAAGTCTAAAATAATGAACCTTTTAGCCCATGTTTGGCATTTTAAAAACTGTCCAAATAACTCTCCTGGTAAATTATCTGCTCTGGAAAGTCAGTAGGTTTTCCAGAACTGGCTCCAAGTGTCCATCCCACAACTTAGGGCTCGCAGTTCCTATAACCTGACTTGTGAGACTCGGGCAATGGCCCCAAGCTGCTAAGTCTCGACATTTGCTCAAGTTTCCTGATTATTTGTGTTAAGCCTGTTGTCTACTCTATCTTCCCTTTTCTGTCCTGACGTCATTGGTCTTTGCGCCCATTATGCGGCCTTGATTTCTGGTTTGGCTCTTCTTTGACCTTAAAATGAATCAACGGTTCGTTCTATCATCCAACTCAGAAGAAAATTGGTTTTCTTCCACTGGTTCCACTGATGCCAAAGAAGGCTCATCTCTGAGATTTAGAAAGTGTCTTCCATTCGCTGTTGCTTCAGGGGTGCTCTGCATCCCGAGAGCTCTGAGCTTAAATCTTTCCCATCACGCTTGAACCCCAGCTCAGTGTTCAAAACGGACAGAACTGTGGATTTTTCAGTTTTCTTATCTGGGGTGTTTTTCTAGTTTGAGGTGAGAATTGTGTGTGTGTTTATGATTTTCTTTTTTTTTTTTTTTGCTGCTGTTTATACTGCTGCTGTTATTACTAAGACTAATTTTTTGCCCTGTGCTAGAGGGAAAATAATGAAAGAAAATTTAATTTGCTGCTTACCCAAAGGCAAGGTAAAATGCCATTTCAAACTCAGTTTAAATGCATGACGAATGTCTCCTACAGCTTCGTCTGTGCTGTCACAGTGTCCTTTTCCAGCAACTGCCTGAGAGTTGCTTTCAGATTTGTTACAGGAACCCAGAGTAGTCGTGTGGCACTTGGGTGTTGGGACTGCTCAGTGTGGGCTCCGGCCTTTCTCCCCATGCGTGTTTAGGGTACCTCAGACTTTTCCCACTCAGTCACGAAGGGAATGCCAGAGAGTCTCCCAAGTAGGTGAGAAAATTAAGAATTTTATTTAGAAGTTTAAAGTAGATCCGAGTGCTATCTTAAAGATGCTGGCAATAAACAAATAACCAGAGCAGCAAAATATGACAAAGTATCCAAGGCCAGGTTAGAAATGCTTTTCTCCCTTGTTCTCCCACACTGGACATGTCGACTTTTAAACTCTTGCCTTTGGAAAATGCCTATTATTTTTCTTCAGAATAGACTTCTCTTTCAAAATTGCCTAAAGTCATTGGATTGCATGGTTCGTGTTTCTTTTCATGTAGTTACCTATTGAAAGTCTGCTAAAACTCCCATAAGCAAAAGTAAATTTTATTTTATTTCCTATCTAAATTTAGCAATCACTTTACACTTTCTGTTTTATTCATGATATGAATTTTTCTACCAAAAATCAGCTTTTCAAAGACTTAATATATAAAGCCATCTTAAGTTAAGTAGTATCTATAGGGATTTAAGGTTATGTTGAGCTGATTTGGCATGTAAGTGCTGTTATCTTATTAAGGCTCTAAAATATAATGTTTTAACCACAGTAAAAAAAATTTTAAGGCCTTGTATATTTGCCAGATGGTTCATTAGTTAGTGATTACTTTAGTGTCAAATTTGACAATTGGAAATAGAAAACAAAGTGTGTTTTTAGAATAGTCACTGAAATGACAGGTGAATCTTGCTCTTAGCTCTGGTTCATTCACATTAACGCTTTGCTATTTGATCTTGATTCTCTTCATAGTAGATGGCCACAGCGGGAAAATTCCCTTGAGTGTGAAAATCAAAATATCCTTTCAAGATATTTCACTAACAAAGAATCACTCTATACTATAAATACTGCATGGTTGCTTTATTTTACATTGTTCTTATAGCTCCATTTAAAAGATGTTTTTCTTCTGTTGGTTTGGTTTCTAAAATAAATGCGTCATCTAAATGTCTTAAGTAGAAATAAATATCTAGAACCAGCCAGTTCTTGTTAGAGTTTCCTTTTTATACCCAAGAATACTTTAAATTGTGTTGTTAGTCTAACATTTAATTTTCGAACATTTACAAATTTGGAAAATGGGTAAGAAATGGGTATGCTTGTTTTTCATAATTTCATTACACCTTTACATTCAAGTCCCAACTCTGAATGTTCTTAAAATTTTAAATCATAGAATTAATAATCATTCAGTTTGAGTCAACTTTTATGGGATTCCTTGTTCATTTTATACATAGGTAGGCTGCTTTGTTTTTCACCAGATGATGTTAAAATCTTATTTAGATCAATAGATTTAAAAACTTTGAATGGTTAACTTTTGAGTAAGAATATTAGAGAACTATATACATAGGGAATACACTCTTAAAAAGAGCCTATGATAGCCAATATGCTCTGTAAGTTTTCTTTAGATATTTCCCATTTTATATTAATCAAAGCCCTCTTGGAAAATGAAGAACTGTACTGGTGGAATATATCAATTATAGTATCGACAATAGCGGAAGATACTTACAGAGGGAATACTGTGGAGCTAAGTGATATTAAGCCTGGCGGACACACCAAAGCAGAAAATGATCTTTGTCCTAGAAAAATGTTGGTCAAGCTAAGTACATATTTAGATAGGGTTTCTCTAATCATTTCAGTGCCACTGGGTTGGGGAGCCATTTAAAAACAACTCTCAGACCAGGTGGAATAGCTAATGTGGTCACATTGTTTGATTCCGGCCGCTTCCACAAGAACCACGGCAGCTTTTCCTCCTCGTGCGGTTGTGTAACTCCTTCTGTGGCATGGACCACATCCCATGCCTTCTTGTATTCCATTACTACGTGCTCCACGAGTCACTTGCTTGCTTCTTTGTTGTTTCATTGTTTTCTGCTAAAGCTAAAATGCTAAATACATTTTCAGATCCCTATATTTTAGAAGAAAAATTTTAGAAACCATTTTCTAATCTCATTTAAGTATATTATTCTGGTACAATACAGTGACTTACGATTGATGCTTTAGCCTTACTAACTGGGGAGCTAAGTTAAATTAATACCATTTTTTTAAATCTAAAGCGGTAATGGCAAGGGTCAAGTAGAGGAAAGAGTAAGAAAAAGAGAAATGAAAAAGAATAAAATGTTGATATACCAAGTCAGTAATTCTTAAAGTATTAGGGAACAAGTAAGGCAAGCATATTACAGGCATGTGGGGAGTATTTTTAATCTAATACATGTTATCTGCACTTTTCTTTCTGCCCCTTCCCCCGCTGGACCACAAAACAAGAGCAGCCACCCACGATTACCTTGGGTGTCAAGGTTCCCAGAACGGTATCATGGACATCACTTAGGGGCTTGGTAAAGATACAGAATCTCACACCCCACCTAGACCCACTGAATAAGAATCTGCATTTTTACAAGATCCCCAGGAGATTCGAATGCACATTGAAGTTAGAGAAGCACAACCACCTATGCCTTGTTCAGAATGTTTCTAGAGCTTATTTTCTTGGATTTTAAATAAACATTTAAAATAAAGCCAACTGCACATAAAATGTGTCAGACACGATACTCAGCCTTTCAACGTGTTTTGTTTAATCCTGACAAGATCTCTGTAAGATAGTCACTGCTTTATGCTCACTTTGTAGGTTAGGATACTGAGTGATAAGGAGATAAATAGCTCTCCCAAATGCAGTAACTGGTAACGTTTTAAACACAGGAATACTGACGCCTGCGCTCTTAGCTGCCACCCTGCTATCTGTTCTGCACTACGCTGCCTGCTTTTTAAGGCCAGTGGGTTATTCGAGAATTCATTTAAAGCTTTAATTTGAAATCCAGCTCTAGTTCCCTCATGGGAAAAAGAAGATTGTTCCATTTTAGTTATAACATTTGCCTGCCATCTTACATCTAAGTACAATAATGAAGAACTGAAGAAATTCCTTCTGTAGTTGGGAAATAAATACTAAAACTATGCCAGCCCATTATTTAATATTTAAGGTTTGCTTTCTCTAATTTTTCCCTATCTTAACTAAAATTATCTTTTACTTTTCGGTGTTCTGATGCTATAAAAAAAGTTCTCTCTTGAATTAACAGGACACTCCTTACATACATTAACTCTTCATTCGAACTCCAATTATAGATAATATTTTTAGCTTTTAAGCAATCGTTTACAAAACTGTAGTTGAATATAGTTGCTAACCAGTCAGTATGCAAGCAAGAGGTAACCTATTTTAAGCTGGCGACTCCGAGAATGCTTCAGTCTCTGAACGGTTTCTCCCTGGGTACGTAGATTGTCTGGCAGTTGGCGCTGGGGTCGGGCAGATGTCTGTCGTTTAGACAGGGGCTCACTGATGTCGCTCAAAAGACTGAGGTGACTCTGGGTTCCTTGTGATCATATTTGAGGGGTGAGATGTGTCACCATGACTGAGCAGACAGTTTTCTCAGTAAGAAAGGGACACATCCTCGGGAGACAATTTCATTAGCTACTGGGATCTAGAACTTTAGATACACAGGTAGCACAAACAGTCATCTAACTTGTAAGTGACCGGTTAAGTCAAAACCAAGGGGAAGAAGCGTCCAGGAAGCATCCGCAGGTAGCAAGTAGTGTTTCTTACTACCAGTACATTATACAGTGCCAGTAACCCTCTTACGAATCTTTAGAATCCTGCTGGTCTCACTAAGGCCAGATATTTGTGACTGTGGCTGAGTACAATGTGCAGCAGGCTTTTTCTACAGAAATTGGAAAAAAATCTCACAATTCTTCTACTAAACTTCCTACATTAGCAAGTTTATCATCACATATACTTTCTTCACACTTTGACCAAATGCTTCTTGTTACCCAATTCAAATGTGTTGCACAAGATTCTAAAGCTATGTGGTATACCCCTACAACAAGAATGTTCCATTAGCCCAGCTTTAATATTCTAACTCTTTCAAACCAAATGATGTCACTTCACATAAAAGGCATTGTACCATGTTCTCTCCAGCTTTTAACCTTTACACAATTAATACCAGCCACTTTATCAGGAATGAAAAAGAATCTGATGTGATCACTACATGATAATTTCTTGAATGTGTGTATGTGTTCGATCTGCTAAGTTAACAGAATGGATTTTTGAGGGAAACACAAATCTATTTCTGTTTTTTTTAAAATTCCCATTAGGTTAAGCCACATGATAGAGCATTAGAAAGCCATAATATATCTATATAAAGAGACATTTGATATAATATGTTATAAAATACTTAATGACAAAGAAAGGTCGTTGTAAGTGAGAAATCAGTGTGTGAAACACAAATCCTGAGTGCGATCCAGCATGTGTGTGTATTTGGTAGATGCTTGTCAAGGTGCCATGAAGGTCTTAGTTGGGTCATTGGTGTTATAATGAAAATAATTGAAGTATATTAGCACAAATTGCGAGTCAAAATCACTGATATATTTTGAAATGCCTGCATCTTTTTTAGAACAGATAACAAAGATTAGGAAAAATATGTAACAAATCTTAAAAGCTTTTGAGGGTTATTAAGATCAAGGCTAAGATCAAAAGTGGCTTTTTTCTTTCCTTTTTTTCTCACATGCTTTCAGATTTTCCAATAATAACCTCTATTACTTTTATACTTCTTACTTTATGTTTGTCTTGGAATTTCTATTACTTGCCTTCTAGCCCACTCTAGACTTCAGATCTTAGACAACCACTATTAACTCTCTGAAGAATTATACTGATACATCTGACTCTGTCTCTAATTTTTACCCCTGAAGGGTACACTGGCCCCTTACAAGATTCTACAGAATTCACACCATAGTAGCATTTTATAGGATAAATCATCTTATGGGAAACTTCTTTTGCTATAACAACAAAACCACCAAGAAATCGGAATCTAAAAATAGATCCTTGTAATGCCAAAATTCTCCTATACAATAATGCTTTAGTAACGTTGATATGTGTTCTTTAAAAAAAATATATAACCTATTCAGTTTTAAAATTTTCTTACATAAAATAACCACAAATTCACAAGGAAAAACATTGATAAAGTTGGGTACATTAAAAAAATTAATGGCTGTATAGTAAAAAAACACCATAAACAGAGTAAAAAGATAAACAGGAACTTGGAAAAGCAATTTGCCACATATTACATATAAAATGCCAGTTTCCTTAACATAACATGAGCTCTTTAAAGTAAGAAACAATGAACAACCAACTTGAAAAATGAGCAAAAGCCATGACTGGGCAAACTTGGAGAAGAATAACTACATAAAATAAGAAAGGAAAAAGGAACTTAGTCTATTTCATAACTAAAGAAATGCAAATCAAGCAAATACATACTTTTTTACTTATCCTGAGGAGAAAAAAACTTAAGATTTGAGAAAAGCCAGATTTTTGGTATCATAAATTAACTTTTATAGAAGGCATTTCGTAAGCATCTTTCAAAATCTTAGTGTAAAACTAATCTAGTGTAATAATTCAATAATTATTCAAATTAGAACAAATAAATACAATATATAGTCAAATAAGTACAAAAATGCATATATATATATAGATATGATAATTGAGGCAATTTTTAAAGCAGCCAAAGATGGAAATTGAAAAGAAAAAGAAAAAAAGTAATGTCCATTAATAGAGGGCTGGTTGAGTAAGTTATCATATATCCGTGTAACAAGTATCAGTGCAGTGATGAGTATGCTCATCAAGATGAATGAGGTAGATTTACAGATGCTAACATAGAAAGTTCTGCTAGCCATGTTAAAAAATAAAGCAAACAGTACAATAGTATGTTAGTATGATATATAAAATGAAAAAAGCATTAATATACACATTTATATTCATGTAAATACATTTTTAAGATTTTATATATTTTTAGAGAGAGAGGAAGGGAGGGAGGAGAGGGAGAGAAACATCAATGTGTGGTTGCCTCTCAAGCGCCCCCTACTGGGGACCTGGCCCACAATCCAGGCATGTGCCTGGGAATTGAACTGGCAACCCTTGGGACTAGGCAGGGTGCATGTAAACACATTTTTTAAGTCCTAAAAAGATATATAAGAAACTGGTAGTAGGAAGTATCTCTGGGAAGTGGATCCAGAGAAACAATTAGAGAGGACTAGGAGCCATGTACTTTTACATTATACTCATCTGTAACTTGACATTTATATCACACGGAGGTATTACTTCTCTGAAATATAAAGTGATATTTTAAAATGATAAAATGATATTTTTTAATTATGGTTTCATAACACCTTAATATAAGCTTATATTAAAATTAATCATTTGTCAAAATTTTACTAAATTCACAAGTAAAAGTCTCATCTATTATACTTCTTATATTTAGCAGTTATGTCTACAGAAGTGTCTAAATGTAAAATTACACTATTTTACCCCCAAATATTCTATTTCTTCTCTGGTGTGTATCTACTGGGCATAGGGGAAGGCGCTGACTGGAAGCACAGGAGGATGAGGTCCCCTGATGGCATAGCCCTTTAGTGCAGGCTGACTCTGTACAAGGAAACATATGCCCTTGATGGGGACCAGATGCTTTCACTCCCTCCACAAACATTCATGAGATGTAAGGTTAATGCTTACTCTGTAAACCAAAAAATAAAACGCTAACCATATTCAGTGAATCACACTAATCTTTTTCTTTCCAGATTCGATACGTCATAAATTGGTCTAAGGTGGCTGGGTTTTTATCTAAATAAGTTACTGACATCATTCCAGAAGCTCAGCGTCCAGGTAAATGCCTTACGCCTATAGCACTGTATCCGTCAGGAGTCTCTTGTAATGTGTCAACAGGGGAGGTAGCGCAAGAAGCCCCACATGCCCTTGTCCAGTGACAGAAAGAGAGGAAGCAGAGAAGGAAATTCCAGTTTTACCCCATCCCTTCCAATAAACAGCTTAAGCACACAAATATATTTACAGGAGTTTAAATGTAAATGGTGTTGCAATTACCAAGATATCCCTGTATAAATGGATGGGAAGCCATGTGAGAGATTTGCAGTCCCTGTGACAAGGGTCTCCCTGTGGCATGGGTGACGGCTTGTGCAGGCTGTCCATGCTGCACAGTCCAGGGCTTCAGAAGACCCCAGAGGAGAATGATGTGCTCGCTCACAGCCATGAAATAGGAGATTTGCCCCACCACTTACTTCCAGAAATCCAAAACCCTTAAAACTTGACCTGCTTGCTCTCAGTCCCACTGTTACAAACGTCTCCCTTACTGCATTAGGATATAGGAAAAATGGCACTATGAAATTGGAGGGAGAGGCACCTTTAATCCCCACACAGTCTAACCCCCTACAGCCATGCAACAGAGCATTTACTGAGAACCTGAAAGGGCAGCTGTGACTCCTTGTCGGTCCAGCTCCTATCACAGGGGCTGCATCAAAAAAAAAAAAAAAACACACTCCTAAATTTACCTAGCTTGCAAGATAGGTTGCAGGTTCAATCTCTGGTCAGGACACACACGTAAATTTCAGGTTTAATCCCCGGTCACGGTGCTGACGGGAGGCAGCTGATCGATATTTTTCTCTGTCTGTCTCTCCCTGCTTCTTCTCTTTCTCTCCCCAAAAATCAATGGACATATCCTTGGGTGAGGATTAAAATCAACAACAACAAAAACCTCATCCCAAAGTAACAGGGGAGACACTCCCTAATCCCTCTGGGTAGAATGGTTAGAATAACTTCCCCTTTCTCAATATGTGTGATTGCATTTTATCAAAGTAGAAGATAGCTGGTGGGTGAGTAGACAAATGTTGAGGGTACGCGATCATTTGCTCAGTTGGCAGGTAGGAAGTACTTGTTGTTTGGTACTCCGTGGTGGTGTTAGGAAACTATTCAGTACTGCTTTAATCTTGGAGATAAATATAGTAACATTCCACAGAGTTCTGTCACTGTAAATCTTTAGAAGGTTTTTCTTCTTTTTCTTTCTTTCTTTTTTTTTTTTTTTTTTTGAGGTGTAGTTAAGCCTAGGAAGCTAGACTACTCATGTTTTCAGAAAAAAAAATCAGCTTTGGAAAAAGTTCTTAAAATATATGTCCTAGTTAGGAAGACACTAAGACAGGAAGCTTTATTTTACCTGCTAGGAGACCGAATAAAAGGTGCTTTTAATCCATAATAGGCCGTCAGCCTTGCAGTGGAAGAAGCTGGACAATAACTTGGGGCTGCCAGCTGGAAATGATCCTTGCACCATCCACCCTTCTCATACATTTGGGAAGCCCTCAGCTTCTAACAACCACACATTTGTAGCAAAACTTCCAAAATAACTATGATATTTTGCTCACAAACAGCAAAACACTGAAGAAAACATTATGTAAAATTTTAAAAATTTTCAAACTTTTAAGTTTCAGATGAATAAGCAAAACATGGTTAACTCTAAGGTTTTTTAAAAGATGTTATTTATTTATTGGTTTGTTTGTTATTTTTAATTTATTTTTAGAAAGAGGTAAAGGGAGGGAGAAAGAGTAGAAGAGAAACATCCTTATGAAAAAGAAACATGGATTAGTTGCCTCTTGTTTGCGCCCTGACCTGGACTGAACCTGCAACGCAGGCACGTGCCCTGACCAGTACCTTTTGCTTTGCAGGATGAAGCTCAACCAACTCAGCCACACCAGTCAGGGCTAAGTTATTTTTTTTGTTTGTTTGTTAAAGATTGATGCTATACCAATCCTGCCACCAATTAGCAACTTTGACGTCTGTTTCCTGTTTGATAATCTCCAAGGCCCCATCCCAGTCCAAAGGCATTATATTGAAATACAAAAAGTGTTTTTAGGAGGACCTTTTGAACTTTGTAATGTCCCTTTAAATGACTACAGAACTCCAATCTCTTATTGATTTAAACCAGTAATGTGTAAACAGCATTGCAAACCTTGTTTTACAGGACCAAAAGAATTTAGGCTGAAATCTATTTATGAAAATGGGGAGAACCTGATTAGGACAATTAAGAGAATCAAGACCATATTCAGGGACTTAAAATCTATAGACCGACACTGTCCAATATGGTTGTCATTTGCCACATATGGCTATTTTAATTTAAATATTAATTAATTATAACTAAATGAAATTATAAATTCAGTCCCTCTGTTTTATTGGGTTGGCTAAAAAGTCTGTTTAGTTTTTTCCATACAATGGCTCTAGTAGTGCTTTGTTGTTTTTAACTTCTTTAGAAACAATTTTGTTAGATTGTATTGTGACACCTGTCATATCAGTATGCATTGTTTTAAAATATTTTATTTATTTATTTTTAGAGAGAGGGGAAGGGAGGGAGAAAGAGAGGGGGAGAAACATCAATGTATAGTTGCTTCTCATGCGCCCCCTACTGGGGACCTGACCTGCAACCCAGGCATGTGCCCTGACTGGGAATCACTCCAAGGACCCTTTGCTTCCCAGTCTGGTGCTCAGTCCACTGAGCCACACCAGCCAGAGTCAGTGTGCATTTTTAAAAATTTTATTAAAATTGGTAAATTTGTTTGCAGCATTTTAATATTGAAGATGGAAGAAAATATGCATTATTTTGGTGCATTATACTTTATTACTTAAAGGTAAAAACACAACTTAAATGAAAACAAATTGTGCGGTGTGTAGAGAAAGTTCTGTGGTTGATCAAATGTGTCAGAAGTAATTTGCAGAGTTTCTTGGTACTATTGACATTTTGGCTAAATAATTCTTTGCTGTGAGGCTGTCTTATGCGTTAGAAGCTGTTTAGCAGCATCCCTGACCTCTACACACTAGAAGCCAGTAGTAGGAGAGAGCCAACATACTCAAAATATTCAAGTCAATAAATTTACTGATGAAAATGAAAAACATATCTTTTATTTTACAGAAAAAACTAACCAGACTTTTTGGCCAACCCAATATTAGCCACATTCAAGTGCTCAATAGACACCTGTAGTTAATGGCTATAACAGTGGGCAGAACAAATATATCATCATAGAAAGTTCTGTTGGACAGTACTATAAACAAATTTATTTTTTAAGATTTATTTATTTATTTTTAGACAGAGGAGAAGGGAGGGAGAAAGAGAGGGAGAGAAACATCAATTTGAGGTTGCCTCTCACTCGCCCCCCACTGGGGACCTGGCCTGCAACCCAGGCATGTGCCCTGACTGAGAATCAAACCGGTGACCCCCTGGTTCTCAGGCCAGCACTCAATCCACTGAGCCACACCAGCCAGGGCAATGTATTTATTAATAAAGCAGCAAACTTCTGTTAGTAAGAAGGTTGTATACTGTCTTAAATTTATTTGGAAATTTAAAATCATTTCTACATTTTAGTTTTCTCAGTAGGTTATCTGGTATATAGTTCACACAAGACCCTTTTCTTTTTCCTATGTATTTGCATATGCAAATATGTAAAATCAAGTATTTCATGAAATGATACCTAAGGCTCTTCAATATCAGATTTTCTCACAATCTAGTCAGTAACAATGGCATTGGTTTACTGAGATGAGCGCATTCAAAACTCTGACATGTGTGGAACCTGCTCAGCTTTGAATTTCCTCCAACAGTCCACACCTCCTATACACTTGTCAAATAAAGCAACATTTTGAAAATATAACCTAGATGCCTTAGCTCCTTAGACCAGCTCTAAAATTAGCTGAGAAGTGTCATGACTGCCATACAAATAATTATTTTTAAGAAGTACTTGAAGTTTTTTTTTAAATCAGGCTAATCAAAAGAAGTTACCCACGGTAATCAAAAAACTGCTCCATAGGCTTGAACTGTTTTTAGAAACATACATAAATCCCATCTAAGAGAAAACAAATATAACTATGTAAATATACTGAATAAAAATGTCATCAGGTGAACAAAATTCTTTTCAGGAAGTCCCTGAAATAAACCATTCAGAATAGAGCCAGCCATTCCTGGGAAAAGGGAGTCTCCTCAGCATGACTATTACCTGTCTAATGACAGCTAGAACCACCTAGTTTTAATACAGAAGCATGTTGGAGCTCACCCACCCAGAGCCTCTGATTGTGGAGAATACAGTCCTGAAGCCAGGACAGCTGGGGCTTACCCAGAGCCATTCGGGCAGCTCCAGGTCCCCGGGTTCCACGTCTGTGCTTCTTTGATTGCATCCTTGTTTGCTTCTAGGATGTGGTTCCCAACTTGTCTGCACACTGACGTCATCCAGAAGCTTTAAAAATAATACTGATGCCTATGCTCTCCCCCAGATTTGTGATTTATTCATTGCGGGCAGGGGGTAACCTGGGCTCTGAAGCTTTAAAAATATTCCCAGGTGATTCTAATATATAGGTATGTTTGGGAACTTGTCAGATAGAACTTGTATAGAAAAATTTCAGCCCTGTAGTTTCCTGCCTTTTTTTTTTAATCATTAAGTACAGTCATATTAGCAAGTATCATTTTTGGCTGCTTCCCATTGTAACATATCCCTAAGGCCTTCTAGCTTACTATTTCTAACCCATCGTGGGCTTTTAAAAAATCTACTAACTAAACCTATGAAAATTGGATATGAAATGAAAATAAATCTGTGCTCAATGAGAATCAGGTTCCTTCACCTTCATACGCTTTGGTATAGTTCTCGCTTCTTAAAAGTCTTCCTCAGGTACAGCCAATTGGGGAATGTTTGGCGATTTCTTATAAACTTCAATAAATGTATATTAACCCACCTTCCCTACTTTCGGGTATTTACCTAGGAAACATGAAAATACATGTTCACACAAAGACCTGAACGTGAATGTTGATAACAGCTTCTTTCATAATCACCAAAAACTAGGAACAA